GGGTAAGAGCTCAGCAGCTCTAAACCTTGATCTGATGGCTGAACAGCTGTAGCCACATGGATACCTAAGATCTATTCATGTTTTCCCTGAAATCTACTTAAGAAGAAGATAAACCAGAAATAATCGTAGAGAGAACTCCTCCAATCAGAACACCTCGCTCTCCACTCACTGAAATGGGAGTGAAAGGCGCTGTTTCAAAGCCAGGAAGACGCTCACTCTTTCCTCTCACCCGAGTCACCAGATCTGACTACAAGGCTCTGCCGTCAAACAGCTTCTGGAAGTTTCTCTCCGGTTCTCCTTCCCCACGTCTGGGTGGGCGGGTCTGCCAGGCTCCTGGGGGGTTTGTCTTTCACACAGTCTGCGGCCTCCTTGTCGCTGAACCCTCGCCTCACCCCCCAGCAGAGCAGCGATTCCTCGGCGGTAGGAGCGCCCTTCCAGGATGTGCCCGCAGGCGCCTGGGCAGAGACCTAATGAGAACCTGCCTCCCTGCCCGCCTCGCAGCAGCCCGGGGCACTGCCTGCACCACCGCGGGGCTCACGCCGGGAGTTTAATGACTTTATTTGTGACGGATGTACGCCCTGCCTTCTGTCAGGGTTCACTATCAGGTTGGACTATATTACCTCTTTCGCTGGGAAAAGAAGCAGGTTTCTTAGGGATATTTCCAGAAAAGCACGTCGATAGTAAAAGGCTTACCTGCATAATTTGATGTTGTAATTCTTATCATTCGATCGAGCAGCACAGGGATTTCATACCCATCCTAACTTTCCCGCAAATTTCCCCCTGGTTTAAAGTACATGTGTGCGCGCACACGCACACACACACACGCACACACACACACACACACACACACATCACACACATCCACTCAAGTAGCATCTGTGTTACACGGGCTGTCTGGAGAGAGTGTTTTGATGAATTCTATTTTCTGGTAGTTGGCCAGCCTGTAGCAGGGGTCGGGAATGTCTGGCCCTGGGGCCGTGGAAGGCCCTTGGAATCCTTTGGTCCGGCCCTGCCAAGGCGCTAGGGGGGAGTTGGTTGAATGTCTGGCCACACAGAGCAGGGTGTTTTCTAAGTTGATAATTGTGTATGGCCCACGAATGACGTTATAAATCTCAAGTGGCCCTTGGCAGGAGGAAGGCTCCCGCCCTCGTTGAGGGCGTGCAGGCTGTCATCCGAGTCTCAGAGCCCAGGACCCTGCCCCCTTGCTAATCCGTGGTCGCCTGGGGAGTGTCACCTCAGGGCCGACACAATCCTACTGGGCTCAGCGAATGGTTTTGTAGAAAAACATCACCTGACTGACCACATTACTTCATCATTTAACAGGACTCTCAACCGTAATGTCCATGTGTTTCGTGAGAGGCCTCATTTGCTTCTTCCTTCACTCAAGTATTATGTGTTGGGCTCCAACCAGGTGGGGCAAGCTCTATGGTCTCTATTGACTGTAAGTAGCAGAATGACCCTGAAGAGAGAAACAAGTCTTTTCTTATAATTGCACAGGAGCTAAAGACAATGAGAGGCCCAGCAGGGCTTCAAAATGTATGAGGACTGTGTGTCCGACTGACTGAGAGGACAGTGTTTGCCGACCTCTGACGTCAGCGGAGGATTAGAATGAGGGGTCTCCTGAGCACCCCCATTGGACCCCAAATTTCCATCCACTCTATTCACAGGAGCCCCTTCACACTCACAGAGCCTACTGACTCCTCACTCACACGTTCACAAAGCACGGGCATTGGTCTTGCAGCCCATACAAAATTCATCCAAAATTACGTCATCCCCAAGCCCACAGCGTCTACTGACTCTTTTAAAAAAAAAAATATTTTTTTTTATTGATTTCAGAGAGGAAGGGAGAGGGAGAGATAGAAACATCAATGCTGAGAATAATTGACGGGCTGCCTCCTGCACGCCCCCTACTGGGGACCGAGCCCGCAACCCGGGCACGTGCCCGACTGAGAATCAAACCGTGACCTCCTGGTTCATAGGTCGAGGATCAACCATTGAGCCACGCCGGCCGGGCCCTACTGGTTCTTCACTCACATATTCATAATAAGCGCAGGCCCTGGTCCAGCAGCCCAGACCAATTTCATCCAAAATTACGTCATCCCCAAACCAAACCCCAAACGAGCTTAGATGGGTAAGTACATAACATACTATTGAAGAAGGATCTATTTCTGCCGGAAGAGAGTAAAGCAAAACGTATTTTAAGGAAAAACAACTTTCAAGACATTCCATGGCTGGCGGTCCCCTGTACAGAGCGCCCGAAGGTGACGGGAGGACGTGTCCTGGGTTTTGGAGTCTGAAGGCCTGGTTCCAGCTCAGGCCTAGCCTTTGGGTCATCCTCAAGATGCTACCAAACCTACCGGGCTCCAGGTTCCTGAGCCCCAAGACAGGGGTGAGCCCTCCCGCCCCACCCAGCGGCGAGGCGGCAGCGAGGGGAACGTGTGTGTGCAGGCGAGCGACACAGCGCCTGGCACAGAGGAGGGCAAGG